CTTCAAATATCATTTAACAAAGATCAGAATGGAAAGCAATATGGCTTTAAAGGGATTGTAGAAAGTTTTTTTTCTAACATAAATGCTAGCTTATTACTGAAGTTTCTTTGATTCTTATTCCTATCATATGCCTGAGGAATCTCTTCTGATCCTACTAAGATGACCTCTGGTGTTTCAAGGAGAAGCTGACCTCTTGGCAAGAAATGTAACTGCTGGCAGCCAAGACACAGAATAGACATGACACTGTCATTAGAAGTCACTGGTCTACTTTATTGCCAGAACACAGGAATCTCCCAGGCAAAACCAAGCTAAGGACCTGGGACAAGACACTGGACGAACGCTGCCCTCAAATGCTAACAATAACCACACATCAGATTGGATTTAAGAAAGGAGAATGGTCGGGGCACCTGGGTGGCTCAGTTGTTGAGCGTCTGCCTTCAGCTCAGGTCATGACCCCAGGGTCCTGGGATCGAGCCCCGCATCAGGCTCCCTGCTCGGCGGGAAGCCTGCTTCTCCCTCTTCCACTCCCCCTGCTTATGTTCCCTCTCTCGCTGTCTCTCTCTCTGTTAAAAAATAAATGAAATCTTAAAAAAAAAAAAAAAAGAATGGTCAAATGTTTATGACTAAGAGGACTGGTTTGGAAAACAAAGGCTAAATAAACGGAACTTGAATTCATTCATTCTTTCAAAAACTATGGATGACCTGGGGCACCCGGGTGGCTCAGCAGGTTAAGCGTCCCACTCTTGATTTCGGCTCAGGTCATGATTTCAGGGTCGTGAGACTGAGCCCTGCGTCCAGCTCTGCACTGAGCATGGAGCCTGCTTGGGATTCTCTCTTTCCTTCTCCACCGCCCCCCCTCCCAAGCTCTCTTGCGTGTTCTCTCTCTCAAAAAACAAAAAACAACAGATGACCTTTGAACAATGCAGAGGTTAGAGGCACCAACCAACTCCCCATATCCCCAGCAGTCCAAAATCCTCAGATAACTTTTCACTCCCCAAAAACTTAACTACTAATAACTACTGTTGACCGGAAGCCTTACTGATGACATAGTCTATTAATACATATTTTGTATGTTATATGTATTATATACGTATTCTTACAATAAAGTAAGCTGGAGAAAAAAAATGTTATTAAGAAAATCATAAGGAAAATACATTTACAGTACTGTACCATAAAAAATCCCCATATAAATGGACCCACACAGTTCAAACCCATGTTGTTCAGGGTCAACTGTATTTGAGTGCCTACTTTGTGCCAGGACTACTCTAGGCACTGGGGATATAGCAATGAACAAGACAAAGCCTCTGCCCTCATGAAGCTTACTATCCAACCCAAAAAACAAGTGAACAAATATGCAGGGAAGAATCACCTAAGTCAAGGCTTTCTTGTCCAGAAAGCAGTAGAGAGTGAAACAAGGGCCAGATTGTGATAGACTTTGCAGGCCTGCATCAAAAAGTTTGGACTTTAGGGGCACCTGGGTGGCTCAGGTCATGATCCCAGGGTCCTGGGATCGAGCCCTGCATCATCAGGCTCCCTGCTCAGCAGGAAGCCTGCTTCTCCCTCTCCCACACCCCCTGCTTGTGTTCCCTCTCTCACTGTGTCTCTCTCTGTCAAATAAATAAAATCTTAAAAAAAAAAAAGTTTGGACTTTATTCTAAGTCAAAACAGAAATCATCAAAGAATTTTAAAAATGGGTAACAGGATCTGAAATATTTTTTTTCAAGATGACTCTGCTCGCTACATATAGAATAGACAGAATTAGAAGCAGAGAGACCAGTTAAGGAGAGATATTACAAAAGCCTCGGTCAGAGCCAATCGAAGCCTTAGTTAGTTTGGCTTGAACTAGTTTCGATGCTAAGCTAATCAGTTAGACACACTGAGTAAGACCCATCAGATTAATTTAAAATGAGGATAACAGTTCCACTTTCTCAGTGATTTTGACCAGTAAAGACAAACATTTCAATTTAAAAACAAGACTTCATTGAAACTAGGGGCGCCTGGGTGGCTCAGTCGTTAAGCATCTGCCTTAGGCTCAGGTCATGATGCCAGGGTCCTGGGATCGAGCACCACATCGTGCTCTCTGCTCCGCGGGAAGCCTGCTTCTCCCTCTCCCACTCCCCCTGCTTGTGTTCTCCTTTGAACTAGATCAACCCTAGTGCCCAGCTGGTGCCAGAGGAACAAAAAGACAGGTCGTAATACATATGCGAGAATGATATAGACTCCCTATGAGGAGAAGAGACTCTTTAGACTATGCTTAAAACATCCTTAGTCACAAACTATCACCCAGGTACTAAACACAGTATAATTGAAACTAAACTAAATCACTAAATTCACTAAACTAAATCTTGTGTACTTTTAATGTAGCTACATGATTTAGATAAAAGGTCATTAAGGTTCATGCTAATTTTACTGCAACACGGGCATTTGTTAAGCATAGTAATGCAAATCTAGTTAAATACAAATTCTGGCGACAGAAGCTGACCATGAAAAATCATAACCTGAAGAACTAAGTTTTGCATGGTCGCATTTTTAAGGATTTAAAAAATTTTGTTTTGTTTAAAGAGTGGCAACTGACTTTTAACGTGGCCTGAATGGTCCCCATTATGTTCAATATTAAGATAAGGTACACATGATATTTAAAATACTTTGGCTTTCTCTGCAAATACCTTAAAATTTATAGACAATCTAACTTCTTTGATATGAAAACTAAAGAGACAGTAAGCAATTAGTTCGCATTTAAGCCTGGACGGATCAGAATCCAGACTCTGGATGGGCCAAGAAAAGATCCATTTCACCTCCAGAGTACAGTATAGGTTTAGCCAACAGAATGTTGAAACCATTCACAACTATTTGGGAGCTTCAGTGAATGAAGCTGCCGTGTGGTTCAGGGACAGTAACAGCAGTAAAATGTACTGAAGTGATAGAGAAGGAACAGACTTTACAACAATACCAGAGATGATGTTTTTTTTTTTTTTTGCTTTTCCCATTCCCCTTAACCATCTTAAAATGACAACTAAATTACTATCACTTTTACCTTAAAAAGTGAGTTTCCTGATAAATCCATGTGTTAGACCAATTTATTTTTATTTTTTTATTAAAATAGCCTTGGTCACATTTATGTTTACCCAGCATTTAAAGTGGTATAGCTAGGCTAGCAGCTGTCAAATATTTACATTAAATCTTCTAATGCTTCAAACATTTCCCCCCAAAATACCAGCTTTTAACTAATTAAAATTACATATTTCACATTAAGTATAATTCTAATATTTTTAAATGTGAAAAAAAATATATCTATGGTAACTGGCCTAAAGCTTTTAGGACAAACCTTTTCAAGACAAATGTCTTCCTTAAAAACTAAGGCTTTCTTTTAGATCAGGTTCTCCCCATGCACTTTTCTCAACTCTCCTATTTGCTTTCATATCTGCAGAACATGGCTTTTAATTTTTCTAACAAATTTTGAGTTCTTTTATGTATTTCTAAATAATACTGTTAACATTTTAATTTAAATGCCCTAAGGCTGAACAATATATCTTAAATATATATAGCATTTCTATTTAGATGTTTTACAGACTAATTATATGTAATTGCTTCCTATATTCAAAAGTAAAACCAAAACATAGGATTTTTACTTTTAGAAAATTAGTATTGCAATTACTGTACTATAAAACTGTTTTATTACACAGTTAACGATCAGCTTTTTAAGTGGCTCATCTACTCACTTTCCCTACCTTATTCCAAATGCATCAGGTATGAATGGTATGTTAACACCTTCCTGAACTTTGTCAAGGAAATCCATGCAAAATACAGATTAAGACATAGTTAAAAATAAAGACTAAAATTCACAACTGCAAACCAAAAAGTAAACTGTGTCAAGCCAAGCTTACTTCCAAATTCTGATTTTAAAGACTTCTCCAACAGCAGGTGAACAGAGATTTCAATGAATATCAAAGAACACTACAGAAGAGGGTAAAAATGTGTTAGCCTTCTTCCTTGGGAATGCAACAGAGTGACCTAGAGGGGCTACTCTAGGATGAAATGGGGTTTGAAACAGAATGCTTCAAAACATTAACTAATGTATAAACAAGCAATTCAGTCCTCCCAGCCCACTTTCCTATTTTAGTCCTACCAAATGAGTCATGTAACTAGCCAAGTGATATCAAGAAGTCCCTGTTGTTCTGTCCCCAAGTCAGTGAACAGAAGGCATTTCTCCTTTATTATATCTTCAAAAGGTGAAATCGAAGAATTTCTAGGGGGTCTTATGTGTATGTGTCAGTTTGGATCTCCTGTGTGCCTGTTATTTATAAGTTAATTACCAAGTAGCTATACAATAAATGCTTAAAGGGGGGGGGGTTGGCTTTTGGTGACAATAATTCTCTCAACTAAAGGACCCTCCCCAGATAATTATTCATTCATTGAGCACTTGTATAACTTGAAGTTGAGAGTAAATTTTTGAGGAAATACCGAGGATACCAGGAGTTATTCCAACGCAAAGAGCAAGTAACGCCAAAAGCAGGTGAATTGCGAGCACCAAAAAAAAAAAAGCAGAACCCTGACCTTGCCGGCAAGTCGAACAGTTGGGCACCCCTCCCCCTAGCTTCCCCGGGAGCCGGTTCACGCCATCCCAATTGGTCAGTCGGCCTGTTCCAGCACCTGCCTGGCAGTGACAAGCGAATCTCCACGGAAGACAAGAGGGTCTGAAAAGGAAGCGGCCTCGGAAACGCTTTGAGGCCCAGGAGGAAAGGATTCCAAGCGGAAAAGGAGGAGAAGACCTTCGGAGGGATGAGGCCGGCGGTCAGAGGCTCAGAGGGACAAGGCTTGCGAGGACGACTGGGGGTCAGGGGCCGGAGGTGTTAGCAGGGCCCGGGTGAGGTGAGAGGTTGAGGGCCGCCTGCGCGCCGCGGGAAGGGGACAGCTAAGGGTCTGGGAGGCCCGAGGGAGCGCAGAGGGGCGAGCAGGCCCGGGGCGGCAGGGGCTGCGGTGGCCCCGGCGCGCGGACTCACGTTCTCCCACCAGCAGGATCCGCACGTCTTTCTTCATGTCGGCGGCTCGCAGGGGCCGGGCTGGGCCCGCACGCATGGAGCGGACACCTCTCGCCGGGAGCGCCTACCCCGCGGAGCCGCACTCCCAGCGCTGCCGGCACCGCCTGCCAGCCTCCCCCGCCGCCCCGCCCGATCCTCGGCCAGGGCCCGCCGCGCCGCCTCCTCGCCTGCTTCCCCGCTCGGGAGCCGGGACAGCTCCAGCTCCGCCTCCTCCGGCTCCGCGGGCGGTGGCGGCGGCGGCGGCGGCGGGGCCGACGGGGCGCCGCGAGGGACAAGTGCTTTCGGAACGCGAACGCTCTCCGGGCCTGAGCGGCGCCCCCCGCGTCCGGCTCGCCGCAGCGCAGGGCCAGGGCGCCTCGCCCACCCTCCTCCCGGCCCCGGGGACCGCGGATGCGCCGGGGGCTGGGAATTTGAGTGGCAAATCCGCTAGTCTGAGCCCATTGATTTTGCAGAATTGGAGCAGGAAAAGGTGCTTGTCCAAGGTCACATAGCTAGAGCTTGGCAGTGACTCAGGACGGCAATATTCTCACCAGACTATAATCGCCAGGAGGGCAGCGACCTGCCTACCTGGTTTTCAGTAGCATCCATACCTCATTGGACATAGTCCTCAGAAAATGCTTGATTGATGAAAGGGTGACTGGCTCCTGGGACAGAGCCTTTTTCACTACCCAAAGCCACCACCCTAGCTGCTTTTTGTCTGTGATGCTTACAAAATACAGTTCTAAATAATGACATTCTTTTTTACCTTGTCCTTGTAAACAGATTCATTTCTTTGTAGCAAACTAAATGACTTTCCTCTGCTCTCAGCCAAACTTAGTTTCTAAACCAAACTAAGCCACTTTCTGTGGTTTCCTTTGAGCAAGGTCCTCCCATACTAATCTTTAGTTAGGCTTGCTGAACATAATGCTGGACACATAGGTGACACTGGATAATAAACTATTACTGAGTTTTCTAATGTTGCCTTATTTCCTCCTGGCCCTCTCTCTCTGGAGGAATTTGTTGCTATCTGCATAATGTGCCTTTTTTTTCTATCTTAAATATTACATAGTAAGTTTTTAGAGGAAATAAAGTGTGCGTAATACAATCCCCCTTTCTCCTAGGAGAAGCCATAGGGTGTTGGTGTAGCAGTTAAGAGCTGCTGACATAGTGCAGGGGATTGAATCCAGATCCATTACCTAATGAGGTGTGTGATCCTGAGTAGGTGCTTTTACATCTCCAACCTGTCCATTCTGTAACGCGGCAATAATGATAACAATACTTACCTCTTCAGGTGGTTTTGAAGAATAAGTAAGATAATAAATGTCAAACATCTGGTACAATGCCAGACTCCATACTTGCTCTGTTGATCTCAGCTACCACTGTTATAGGGAAGTTGAAAAGTTACAAGCCACAGGCTTTGAGGCAAATACATTGTTACAACAGTATTTTGCCTCTTAGTATAATGATGTCCCTAAGGAGCATAGGAGAGGAAGACCTTCCAAAAAAACACTCTGTGATATAAGGAGGGAGATAAGAGAGATACACTCCTTGCTCGCTGGGAGATAATGAAGTCCTATTCCAGGATGGATGCAAATGTGAAATTCAGGAGTCTTTTTTTTTTTTTTTAAGATCTTATTTATTTATTTGAGAGAGCATAAGCAGAGGGAGCTGCAGGCAGAGGAAGAAGGAGGCTGGCTCCCTGCTGAGCAAGGAGCCCGATGCAGGACTCGATCCCAGGACCCTGGGATCATGACTTGAGCCCAAGGCAGACACTTAACCAACTGAGCCACCCAGCTGTCCCAAAATTCGGGAGTCTTGATAACCCAATCTTTCAGGGGAAAGGATTCCTCTGAATTTTAGTATTACATGATGATTGAGTTGAAAAGACCCCTACAGAGCACTCCACTCTCATTACTCTATAGGTAAAAGCAAGACCCACAGAGGTACCATGACTTGCCAAAGGCAGGGCAGCTGAGACTGAGCCGGGCTCTACCATCCTTAGTGTGTGACTCTGGGCAAGTCACATCACCTGTTGCCTCAGTTTACTCTCTCCCAAATGAAGACTATCATTTCTTCCCAGCCTCCGACCTTATGGAGTTTTTTGGAGGATCCCATGAAATAATTTATGTGAAAAAACTTTTTCTTAAAAAAGTAAGTTACACAAATATTAGACTACAAAGGACAAAGGCCCTTTACAGAGGGGCAAATTCTTCAGGGCACTGCCCGCTCCAAGCAACGCTCTGTAAAGAATCTTGATCCCAGGAGTGCTGCAATAGCATTACCAGCTGATGATGGTGTTAGTTCTGAGGGACTTCTCCAGGAGCATGGGAAGAGACAAGGCCTTCATGGTGTTGTACATGTGTACCAGCATGTACAGCTTTGGCATTTCTATTAATTGAAATGTTTGGAAGGCAGGAGACTAAGAAGAGTTTATTTGGCAGGGCAATATCACAGAGTTAATACTGGGAACTCCTTTGTCAATAAAACCTACTTAAAAACCCACAGTCGGCGCGCCTGGGTGGCTCAGTTGGTTGAACGTCTGCCTTTGGCTCAGGTCATGATCTGGGGTCCTGGGATCGAGCCCTGCATCGGGCTCCCTGCTCCGTGGGAAGCCTGCTTCTCCCTCTCCCTCTGCCCCTCCCCCGGCTTGGGTTCTCTCACTCTCTCTCCGTCAAATAAATAAACCTTAAAAAAAAAAAAAAATCCAGACTCAAGGGCTGCAGAAAAGAGACAACCAGCCACCGCTTTCAGTAGGCAACAACGAATGGTTTGTACAAACGGAGACCAACACTCATTAAAGTGAGGGAGAGGGTATCTGGGCCTCCTGGGCAATGTAAATTTCTTCTTACAGCCCCTCTCCATCTACCCATCAACTATACTTCTGGAGCTTTGGCCCCCTGCCCTCCCTTGATATGCCCTTCTCATAATATTAACAGGCATCCATCAGGGTCACTGTGAAGTTCTCCAGGAGACAGCACAGTTCAGGGGTTAAGAGCAGGGACTCTGGAGTCTGCCCGCCTAGGTCTGAAACTCAGCTTTGCCAGTAACTAGTTGTGCATCATCAAGCAAATTGCTTAACTTCTCTGTAATGGTAATAACACCTCATGGAATTGTAATGAAGATTAAATGTGTTACTAGTAGGAAAACACTTAGAATAGTGCATGGTACATGGTCAGTGATTTACAGATGTTGAATAAAGTAAATTGTGAAGAAAGTGACTTCCGTACACCTCTCTGAGCCTAAGTATAGAGGCACATGATGACACACTGCAGCAAAACATAAGCCAGGGAATGGAGTTGTTGGCAGTGGGATTTACTGTTGGGATATTACAGACTGATTACTGTATATTAAGTATGTTGGATAGAGCCAAGAAGACAGATTGGAATCTAGAAGGCACTGATGGAATTTTCCTCCAGAACACTGCTAGGAAGGAGCTCTACCATCACAAGACAAATTTCTTGCCTCCTCAACTGTACAGGGGACATAGGAAGGTCTGAACAAAGTACTCTTGCCAGGAGATAACAGGATCCATCTTTTATGTCTGTCAAAGGAGGAGCTTGCCACATCGTCTCTCTCTGCCTCCCAGGACAGCAGAACACCCAGAGCCAGTGGGTAGAAGATGACTGACATTGGGTGGGAGAAGAGGCTGGTTTCTGATTGGTGAGTTAATCACAGTCCTGGGCAGGAGGCCAAGTCAGACTCAGGCTGGCATTGGTCCCACTCCTCAGATCCTTCTATCAAGTGAAACCCAAAGTAGCGTTCATCATCCACCCACTCTTCACTTTTGTCTCCCATTCCGCCCAGGAAGCCTTCTTCCTTTTTTCCTGTCAAGCCTGCTCTGCTGGAGCAGAAAAGTCCAATGCCTTGATACAGAGTAAATACTTTATCTTGCCTTCTAATGCACTTGTTCTTGACTCATTGTTCAAACATCCATGTCCTCTGCGTAGTCACATGGATGGGTCTCTAGAGGACAGAGATTCTGTTTGCTTGATTAGGCTGGAAGGTACGTCACTCAGCACAATTACTTATTAAAAGGCATTTGAACACTAACCATGTTGAAAGGCAATCTTTCCACCTAGGACCCTCATCTGTTAACACAGCATAATTTACAGAGTTGTGGAATCACTAGGTTGTACACTTGAAACTGATGTAACATTGTGTATCAACTATACTAAAAAAAAAAATCCTCCACTCTACAGCATACAAATGCTTTATTTTACAGGTTCTCTTTAGCTTTTGAAAAATGAAGGGATATTTTAAGTATTGAAGAACTGGATACTTTTTATAACACTCAACAAGATAGTAAAGGCTGATTTTTGTCTAAAAAAAAATCCTCATGTATTGATGAGGTTGCATCCAGTTTTCTTTTTAATTTTCTTAAGCTCCTTTCAAATACAGATTGTAAAACAAAAACCCTCAATTAAGAGATAATTGTTATTGAGAAGCCTCTCAGACCCATCCCCCCCACACATGGTCTGAATTCCCTTAGGGAATGGGTAAGTGCATGGGCCCTGGAGCCTATATTTCATCTCCAACACTTAGCTAGCTGGGCAAACATTGGGCAAGTTACAGAACCTCTCTGAAAAACATAAACCTCATCTGCAAAATGGAGCTATCTCATAGGGCTTTTTTGATAATTAAATAAAGTCCAGATAAAGCATTTATCACATTGTTTAACACATAGTTCATGCTCACATATCACTGTTCACTGCATTTTTTAATTTGGAATTCATTTGCTGACATGCATCATTTTTCCAAGGGCAAATTGATGACCCTGCCCACTCAAATTGTAAACTCCAAAAGGCAAAAATGCATTTAATATAACTTTTGATCACTGTAAAGACATTAAAATTTTTACTGACTTATTATAAATATCAACCGGTGATTCTCAGAACTTTTTAGGCCACAGGCTATTTCTGCAAAACAAAAAATTCCATAAATAGTAAATTTATAATTTCTGCAAAGAAATCACCACAATTAAATATATTCCAAGAAAATAATCAAAAGAAGAAAAAAATATATACATATACATATTCTATTTAGAGGAACATTACACAACAGTTAAAAATGGAAAAGCATACAATTATAGGGGAATAAATTAACTATGGCATAAAATTATTGGAATGTCTGCAGTCATTACGGCACCTGGCTGGCTCAGTCGGTAGAGCATATGACTCTTGATCTCAGGGTCATGAGTTCAAGCCCCACATTGGGTACAGAGATTATTTTAAAATTAAATAAATACGGGGCACCTGGGTGGCTCAGTCAGCTAAGCGTCTGCCTTCG